ATAGGATGTTTTCTGTGACACATCACCAAACACCAGAAAACTGAGTGCTAATGGTATGTGCTAGGTTGTAATGACTTTGTACTTCAATTATCTCTGTTTGTTAATTATAGTTTCCATTTTTCTTCAATGTTCTTCATCTCTTAGAAGCATCAATTCCCTTTCGACAAAATGTATTTTGTAGTTAATGAGATTTACATTTTCAATTCAGTTCTTCATTTTGAAAAATAAGAATGTAATTCTGTTTTTGTCTAAACATGTAGGTGTATGCTTCCATTTTCATGTAAAAAAATATCTATACATATGCATATGTTACATTAGTATATCTGCCATGTCAATTAGCCCCTAACATGTGCATTTCTTTCTTCCATTGACTTCTTGTGAATTGGCTTATTTTCTTATTTCTATATGTTCAGGGGACGAAATCGAGAGGAGATGAAGGGAGGTCAGTTACTTCTTCAACTCTAGTCTTTCTTTGCATGACTTATTTTGGAATAGATGTGCTCCATTGTCAGAATTAATTAGAAGATAGTATCTCAAAACATGATAAGAACAACAATAATGTGAGACTGCTTGCTTTCTGAGCAGGAATGATGAAAATGATTCACTGTGTAAGATGAAGGCAACTGAGGAGGCCTTGGAAGCAAAGCAAAAGGTGGTAGGGAACTACTGTTGGGTTCTGCTTGTCTAGTACTTTGATTTCTAATAACTGTTGTTGTTTTGTCAGTGCCAAATAATTTCAGTAACCTGAGTAGTCGTTAGGAGCAGGCTTTTTTTACCTTGTAGCTCTAACTGCTACTGTTGGCACATTCATACAGATGTAATTTGTTTTGGCACATGATGAAATATTCTACCTTTTTATTTCCTGTTGTTTTACTTGCTGATAAACTTGCAGGATAAACCTTCATTTGAGCTATCCGGAAAACTTGCAGCAGAAACCAACAGAGTCAGAGGTAATACTTTCATCACCATCTTTTTGTTCTATTCCTTTCTTCAGTTGGCAGTATAGTTGTTGTAAGTTTTTGAATTCTTTTCCTTTTTGTTTTTATGATAAATTGTTTAATGACTTACTTCTAACCATGTTGGTGCTATCATAATTTCAGTCTTTTCCTTATTTGCCATCATGCCTTGTGTCTTGTGTTGTTTTTGGTTTTTCTCTCTAAGTGCTCTTATAATCTTATATATTAATAAATATATACATATATATATATATATATATATATATATGCATACCACTCATTGTTACTTTCTGGTAAATCTGTGTAGTAAAAATCTGTGGCAGAGACAGCTACTGAAGTACTGTTGCACTTTTGGTGTATAAGTGTTTGAAATTCCATTATTGAGCCTGTCAAAATGTTTCTTCTCTCTATTATAGTGTTTCCTTGGATATATGCGGTAAAATACTTACAGGAGTGTGAGGTTAACCAAAAATTGAGAAGAAGCTTAACTTAAGAGGCTTTCGCCTTGCTCATATATGGATTGCCATTCATTTTCTAATGCAATTATTATTCATCGCATTCTTCATGGATTGGCTAATTGGATCTGATTTTAGGTGTGACACTGCTGTTCTCTGAACCCCCGGATGCTCGGAAACCTGATGTCAGATGGCGGCTTTACGTGTTCAAGGCTGGTGAAGTATTGAATGGTGAGACTCTGATGGTATTTTTTCTGCATGTTAACTGTTCTCCCATATATATGAAATATTTTGTTCCGAGCACAATGTGTTATTGTTGCCTTTTTGCACTGGATTTTTTTCATATACCATCAGAAAACATATTTGCAAATTGGTTTCCTGATTTATGTGTTAGATTTGCAGGGGCTTTGTTTGAATTGGAAAGACTGCATTTGTTAAATGGCTAGTATAGAATGAAAATGATGCAGAACTATCTAAGCTAGACATAATGGAATATAGTTAAATAAGGAAGCTTGTTTTCATGACTTACAAGGGGATTTGAGTTTATTTTTTGGAATTTTTGGAAACAAAAACTTTTCATTCATGCTATATTGTTCTCTCTTTTCAGTGAGATTAGGCCCTATATAAGGCTACTAATCACTAAACTAGGGCAGGTTGGATTTGATAATTTTAAATGATATAGTATCAAGTTATTCTTTCTTATTGGTTATACTTCTCTGTTTCTTCTCCCTTAACTATTTTTTTTCCTTTTTCCTCTTTATTTCTTCACCTTCAGCTCTCTTTTCCCCGTGTTATCTTCCTATTCTTTTATTTTCCTAAAATTTTTCTTCCACTTTGTTGCTGTGTTGGATAAGATGAGTTCAAACCTTAGATGTCCTGCATCAATTTCTGCACTTGATATAAATAGATATTCTGCATCAGAAAGCCTGTAAGGTTGTACCTTCACGTTTGTACGTAATCTGGTTTAATCTCATAAGTAGAATGCTGCATGAAATGTCTCTGAGTAAAGAAAACACTACATGCATGATCTCTGCTGGGATGATATAACCAAGTTAACAAATCCATTCTTCTTCTTAGGCTATGTCCTACTTAACACTACTACCATTGTGAACTGAATTAAGTTGTGAATTTGGTGATGCTTAGGCCATTTGAATTTGAAATTAACGTATTGTAGAAATTTCTTTTGTGTGTTGTTTGCCCTCTTGTTTTATGATTTCATCTAAGCTTTCTGACTAACAGAGCCACTTTACATACATCGTCAAAGCTGTTACCTCTTTGGAAGGGAGAGAAGAGTAGCGGACGTTCCTACAGACCATCCATCTTGCAGCAAACAGCATGCTGTCATCCAATTCCGGTACATTTAATATGTCCAGTTTTGTTTGCTAATTTTTTAAAACATTGCTTGATTTGATATTTCTTTTTCTCAGGCAAGTTGAAAAGGAGCAACCTGATGGTACCTTATCCAAGCAAGTAAGGTAAGAATAAAATGGCATTGTGTCTACTGATTTGACTTACCATGCCAAGTACACACCTAATTTTTTTTATTTGCTTACAGGCCTTACATAATGGACCTTGGAAGCACTAACAAAACTTTCATTAATGTAAGCCATTAATTGCACTATTTTATTTCCCTTTATTGGTCTGAAGTTTTATTATTCTTGCAGCAACATTATCTTGACATTTTGTTTTGCACTTGCAGGATAATCCTATTGAACCTCAACGTTATTATGAACTGTTTGAGAAAGACACTATTAAATTTGGTAATAGTAGGTAGGGCTCTGATTGATTCCTGATGTGGTTTTCTCTTTTTCAGAGCACTGCATGATTTTCCATCTTTCAATTTGATTTTGTTTTGCTGTTTTCTTCTTTCTTGCATTCTAATATCCTCTCCAGCAAGTATCAATGATGTTTTATGAAAATGTCAGTTGTTTCTGTACCTCCTTGAATGAATTTACCTTTTGCAAACATGTTAACTTGTCTATTCGTAGATAGAAAACTCACCATTTCAAGTTTGTAACACATTCAGTGAATGTCTTCTGGTCTCATTGGCTGAATAAGGCATCTCTCTCTCCCTCTTACACACCATAAAACTGTGTTAGACAGGATTGATTGGAGAAGTTGAATTAGATTTTTGTTGCTTCATACGAGGATTTTGATTTGGCATATTTCTCCAGCTTTTTATGTGGTGCTATGGTTAATGTTTCCCATGCCTGAGGTTCTTCCATTTCGGTTAGGTTCATTGATCATTTGGAATTTTCACTTTGCAAAACTATATTTCATTGTGCTTGATTTGCATCTCACAGGAAAGCAAACTCTTAAAATGGTGATTGCTGTGAGGATTGGCAAGTGCGATAGTTATAGATGGCACCAAGATAGTAAGGGCAGGTTCATTGTGGGTTTGCCCTTTATCCATGTTGCTCCCGATGTAAGTGTCCCCAAAAAAAAAAACGTTATCATTTCTGATCTATGTGGGGCAGGCCTGAGAAAGTAGAGAGTAGAAAACTGGTCCACACTTGCACACATCAGTAGGGATGGGTCAGCAACTGCAAACTATATGGGGCCAGTGCAAATTCTTAGTTGGCATCCTTTAACATCCTTTAATTATTGTTGGATTATATCTTTCATTTTTGCCAAAGAAGAAAGACTGATGTCTACTATAAACAATCAAGGCCTCTTTTCTACTCTACTGAGTGAAGTACCTTATGCTCTTCACTTGTTATGTGATGCACGAACATTCCTGAAAAGGCTGGACGAGCATCAAGGGGGAGGATAGGGACATCTCACTTACCTGGCGCATAAGATTCTGATGCTGCTTATTACAGAACCACTTTGATGTGCCAGTTAAACGGGAGGCTCTTAGTATTAATACAGGAAATGAGTAGATGTAAAATAAATTCCATAATGCTAGCGAGTACATACTTACCCCTAGTCTTATGCACCCAACTACTGCACTTCATTTAGGCACGTGCTTTTTCCTATTTTTTGCTGTGTACATCATATGTTGTGTATGTATGATTGTGTATGCATATGTAAAGGAAATAAGAGCATCCATGGTTGAGTGCAAATATGTCCTTATCAAAATCCAAATTTGTTGCAAAGAGTGCCAAATACTGAACTCCATCTTAGGCTTTTTATTAATTAGACTACTAGAACATTTTTACTGTGAATTATAAAACTTTTGCGGTTAGAATAGATTCTGCATGCTTGCATCTCTAATCTAGCTGTTTTAGGAAAGCCTTTTCCCAGAAACAAGATTGTCTTGTTGGAAATTTGTAGTGAGAGAAGGTAATTGATGAAGTCATTGAACAGTTATCTGCAAATTGTTCAGATGAGGCTTGTTTTGCAGTGAGGTGACTCACCTCATCTCCCGTGACAGAGAATTAAAGTTTTTGGTTGTCTTTTTGCTGTTTCATTTTTTCTTCTCTTTGTTGATCTCGGTTGAGCTTGAGTTTAGTTACCTCTCACGTTTCCTTACATTGGAGGACATGATGAAGAAGGGATTCTGGTTTCCAGATCAACTTGTTTTTTTTTTTTTTTCTTGAAAATTTCTCTAAGCTGTTCCAGTTATCTGTTTGCTTTTTAAATTTCCTTGCCTGGAATTTTGCAGCCGAGAATACGTGTTACTGCACGAGAACTCTGCTGCTTAGGAGTCATAAACAAGCAGGGATATGAAATTTTCCGGGAGTTGAGGCAAGGGAGGAGATTTTGCTTATCCATAATGTTGGTTTTAGAACCTGGAAGACATTTTTGTAGTATCCATGTTGCTTATTTGTTTCACATGAGATGGTACACTGCTCTGGTTTTTAAAGCAATCTTGTTCATTTCTTTTGGTGATTCACCTACATATTATATGCGTTCAATATATTTTTTTCAGTGAAAATACAGACATTTAATTCATTATATGATACGTACACATTGTAATGCACGTCCCCGATTCAAATCCACAATTTTAGGTCAGCATTATCCAATTCAGACTGAAATTAAACTAAACTCATCAGTTTGATTTATACCACATCAAACTGAAGTTGTTTAGGGCCAGACAGCTTTTTTTTTTTTTTTTTTTTTTCTAATGTTAAAAAATTAAAATTTTAAATATAAAAAATATATATGGTATAAATAAAATATTGAAATAATAAATTTAAAAAATTAAATCTTTTGGATCAATTTAAGTCAATTGATTATCTTTAGTAATAACTTTATTATTATATTTAATAATAAATTTAAGTCAATTCAATCTAATAATTTTTTACAGTTTGAAGCCATGGTAATATGGTGGTTAGTTTAGTTAAAATCAAGGTTTGACAGATTATCTTTAATAATAAATTCAATAGTAAATAAAATAAATATTTATTTCTTTTAGGATATTAAATTAACTTCAAAGCTTGAATTTCTTTTATAAATTTCAGTAAATATATACTTAGTCATGAAATCAAATTAAGGTCAAATAATAAGTAAATAACTGTATATATAATTATTTAATACCTAAATTTATTATTACCATGTTATAAAATCAATTTATAGTAATCCAATTAGAATTACCACAAAAGTCAATGCATCTTTATTAAACAGTTAAAAGTGAGTTGTAATCTGTATATTATGTGTGTTTTTGACGATGTTAAATAAAATATATAAATTTTTATTAAAAGAATAAAATAAAATTATTATGAAGTAAAGTAAATATAATAATAAAATTATTATTATTTTTTTATTAAAATTTGCACATATTATTATGTATTAATGGACAAATTTTAGTCTAATCTAATTACAATTAAATGGTTTAAGATTTTAATTCATAATTGGATTATTTTGAGAAGATATAATTATAAATCTCAAATTTTAAAATATTTTAATAGATTTTTGCAGAATTGGGTGAAACTGGAAATTACTTTTTCAAATCCAAACATTTGAGATAGACATCAAGTTTTTGTCTCTACACGAATTCAGCCAATCGTCGTCTTTCAGACTTTATATTATTTACCAAATTTACCTCCTCCCTTCCTTTTGACCAAACTTCCTTCTCCCCTATAATAGCATCCCCCCTCTCTCTCACTTGCCCCATTACTCACTCTTCCTCTCTACCTTACAACTCTTCAAGCTTTGCTAATGGCGCCCTGCGGTCCGATTGATAATACTTCCAAGTTGGTAGACGAAGACATTGTTCTGATTCTTTCTCGATTACCCTTCAACGAGGCTGCGAGAACCTCCGTCTTGGCCCACAGATGGCGTCATATCTGGCGCAGAACCAGGAGTGTGGAGCTCTTGGAGAGGTTCTTCGTGAAGCCTGGTGACTCTGAGGAGATCAAGGAGAATAAAAGAAAGGAGTTCATGGAGTTTGTTCGTCAATGGATTAACGATTCTGATCGTGAATCCGAGATAGATAAGTTCTCTTTCTCACTCTCCAATCCTAAACCATTTCAGGACGACTTATACGCCATTTTATCATTTCCTTCTTCTAGAAATGTCAAAGAGTTATCCCTCGATTTCTCTGACCCTTCATGGAAACAAGACGATCCTGAAAAAACCCACAAGGCGATTTGTAACATACCAGGTCCGGTTTACAGAAACCATGATCTTCAATCCATGAAGCTTTACTCCTGCGGTTTTATGGATCAGTGGTTCGGTAATTTTGGGTCGTTAAAGGAGCTTTCTTTAGGATGGATTGAACTTGAATCGGCTTCCATGAAAGCTGTGATGGAGAAGTGTCCATTGCTGTTGAGTTTGAGTTTGGAGAGGTGTTGGAATAGAGGGGAAGGCATGGAGATTAGAGGGAGGAATTTGAAGTTAAGGAAGTTGAGGATTGAGAATTGTGGATACGAGTGGTGGTGCTTTGATTCCCCGAATCTGAAAGAGTTTAAGTACAGTGGGAGACTTGGTATTTTACATTTTGACAATGTGCGAACTCCGGTGGAGAATGTTGAACTTGATTTTGGAGTGGAGAAAGAGTTTCAACAAGTTGGTGATTATCTGCAGATGCTTCTTCATGAGCTCACTTCTGCTAGGGTTTTGACTGTTTGCACTTACGTCCTTCAGGTATATATTATATTTATACATATTTCTATGTATGTATTTGGTTTACTTCTTGAAGGTTTTATCTGCTAATTGTTGATAATTACTACTTTGAAAGTTGTTTAGTTGATTATCTTATGTAGATTTTCTTTCTTTCATGTTGATAAATACTATTTCACTCATGTGGTTGGTAGAAAGAGATTTGGGGAGTGCAAATGGAAATAGGATTAATCTAATCAAGCATGAAATATATAGTAGTCATGATATTGTTAACTAGACTTATGAGACAACAGGAAATTGTTAATCAAGAGAATATGTGTGTGTGTGTGTGTGTGTGTGTGTGTAGTACTCATTGTTGAGTTGTGTTTTCACATACACACACATATATGTACACATTCAACTATCCTCCTTTGGGCTTACTTGGGGAATTATTGCATTATGTTTGTATATTTGCAGCATAAATTATAAGTATTTTGTATGTACATATATATATATGTAATAGGATTCCAAGTTGTTTTAAAATATGATTTGAATAACCTTTTTATATTGAATTTATAGTGTTATCCAGAGGTAAATTTTATAGTATAACTTTAAATAGTTTGTTGATTTATTTTAGGACATGATTTGAGTATTTTTTATATCAATCTATAGTATAAAAAAGGTGATTTATTCGATATAATTTTTAAATATCCTTTACAATAATTTAAGTTATATATATTATTATAAAGTAATTATTTACAATATTTTTTAATTACTTGTCATTACGAAGAGATTAGTGATTTACTTCAAGTAATATGAAGTGAAGTTTATTTAACAAATTGACATGACTGATTGGCATTATGGTATATATTACAGATGATGATTAATATATCATTTCGTTCCCTTTTATGTGTGTCAAATTTAATATTAGTAATGACAATTACTTTTATATATGAGTGTAATATTCATGTTATTTTTATTTTAGGTTATACCAAGTGGAATACAATCATTAGGTATACATGGACGTTCTCTAGAGGTAAAACATTTAATTTTGAAAATCCAATTGCATTCATATGAGTTTTGGGGAATCAAGTTCATGCTAAATAGCTGTCCGAAGTTACAAACCATCACCTTTGACTTAGCTCCTGGAAGTGGAACAATCCTATCTGTAAGTAATATTAAACTATATTTCTATATAATTCGTAAAGAATTGTTCTAATTTTATTATCTTTTTTTAAAATTTTTTTATAATCATATTTAAGGTATGTAAAAATAAAAATAATATTTGAAAAATAAGATGAAACTTTGAAATCGATTTGAAAAGAACAAACATTTTCAAACTCGAGCTATATGTGTATTTATATACTTTCAAGTATGTGTGTGTGCATGAAGCTTAAAATGGTTTGTGTTCAATTTTCAGGGCTATGTACCTCCATTTGAGTTAAGGGCAAATGATTTTTGGATAAAAAACACAACTACTCACAAGTGCTTAACAAATAGGTTGAAAGTCGTGGTATTTAAAGGGTTTAAGGGGAGCTGGAATGAAATCCTTCTTCTTCGATATTTTCTGAATTTTGGACAAGTACTGGAGCGTCTTGCTTTATATTCTGAAGATAGATTGAATGAAGATGAGAAGAAAACTATAATGGAGAAAGCTAAAGACATAAAGAACACCATCAAAGCTTCACCTTTAGTGCAGATTATACTCTATATTGATGGTATATCTACTAATATATAAGAATATATAGTTAGTTTAAAATTATAATAACTCAAATTTATGTCAAGAGAATATTTATGTAATTTGGTCGTTATTGGAGTTTTTATAATTAATATAGATATTAAAGACAATATTTCTTTATCAGTTATCATAAATTAACAATTGATCTGCACGGGTTGCATATGAATAAATAAAAATAATAACATCTAATTAGTACATTTATAACCAACTATTATTTAAGTGAACTGTTAGTACATTTTTTTTTTCTATAAAAGATTGTATATTCGAGTCAGATTGTCTTATTTATTTTTGTTTGAATATTATTTTCTATAGTATTATGATTAACGTTAATATATCAATACGAAAAAATAAAACATTTATATTTTAATAGACTATTATAGAATTGGGTAAAATTCTTTATATTTTAATCAATAAATTTATCATTTAGTCAATAAATTTATAATTACCAAATATTATTTAGCTATATGGTAAGTAATTCAATTTTTTTATATGAACAGTTGGCTTTGAGCTGTGGTTTATTTATCTTTTATGATATTGGATAAAATGTATATATTTTTACCAAAAAATTAAATTTATTAGGAAATGGAGTAAATACAATAATCAAATTATTCTTATTATATTATTAATAAATTAACAGAAAAATTAAATCAACTTTTATTAATAAATTGTTAAGATTTTTTAGTTCTTATTAAATTATTTTGAGTAGATATACTTATAAACCTCAAATCTTAAAACGTTTCAGAATTACTTTTTCAAATCCAAACATTTGAGATAGACATCAAGTTTTTGTCTTTACGCGAATTCAGCCAATGGTCTTTCAGACTTTATATTATTTACCAAATTTACCCTCTCCCCTCCATTTGACCGAACCTCGTTCTTCGCTGTAATACCATCCCCCCCCCCCCCCCCTTTTTCTCTCACTTGCCCTATTACTCATTTTTCCTCTCTATCTTACTGCCCTTCAAGCTTCACTAATGGCGCCCGGTGGTCCGATTGATAGTACTTCCAAGTTGGTAGACGAAGACATTCTTCTGATTCTCTCTCGATTACCCTTCAACGAGGCTGCGAGAACCTCCGTCTTGGCCCAAAGATGGCGTCATATCTGGCGCGGAACCAGAAGTGTTGAGCTCTTGGAGAGATTCTTCGTCAGGCCTGGTGACTCTGAGGAGATCAGGGAGAATAAAAGAAGGGAGTTCATGGAGTTTGTTCGTCAATGGATTAACGATTCTGATCGTGAATCCGAGATAGATAAGTTCTCTTTCTCACTCTCCAATCCTAAACCATTTCAGGACGATTTATACGCCGTTTTATCATTTCCTTCTTCTAGAAATGTCAAGGAGTTATACCTCGATTTCTCTGACCCTTCATGGGAACAAGACGATCCTAAAAAAACCCACAAGGCGGTTTGTAACATACCAGGTCCGGTTTACAGAAACCATGATCTTCAATCCATGAAGCTTTATTCCTGCAGTTTTATGGATCAGTGGTTCGGTAATTTTGGTTCGTTAAAGGAGCTTTCTTTAGGATGGATTGAACTTGAATCGGCTTCCATGAAAGCTGTGATGGAGAAGTGTCCATTGCTGCTGAGTTTGAACTTGAAGAGGTGTTGGAATAGAGGGAAAGGCATGGAGATTACAGGGACGAACTTGAAGTTAAGGAAGTTGAGGATTGAGAATTGTGGATACGAGTGGTGGTGCTTTGATTTCCCGAATCTGAAAGAGTTTAAATACAGTGGGAGAATTAGTATTTTACATTTTGACAGTGTGCGAACTCCGGTGGAGAACGTTGAACTTGATTTTGGAGTGGAGAAAGAGTTCCAACGAGTTGGTGATTATCTGCAGATGCTTCTTCATGATCTCACTTCTGCTAGGATTTTGACTATTTGCACTTACGTCCTTCAGGTATATATTATATTTATACATATATATATGTACGTATTTTGTTTATTTCTTGAAAGTTCCTATCTGCTAATTGTTGATAGTTACTACTTTGAAAGTTGTTTAGTTGATTATCTTATGCAGATTTTCTTTCTTTCATGTTGATAATTACTACTTCACTCGTGTGGTTGGTAGAAAGAGATTTGGGGAGTGCAAATACCATTAGGATTAACCTAATCAGGCATGAACTATATAGTAGTCATGATATTGTTAACTAGGATTATAAGACAACAGGAAATTGTTAATTAAGAGAATGTGTGTGTGTGTGTGTGTGTGTGTAGTACTCATTGTTGATTTGTGCTTTCACATACACACATATATATACACATTCTACTATCCTCCTTGTAGGGGAATTATTGCATCATGTTTGTATATTTGCAGCATAAATTATAAGTACTGTGTATGTACGTATGTATATATGTGTATATATGTAATAAAATTCTAAGTTGTTTTAAAGAATGATTTGAGTAACATTTTTGGGTCGAATTTATAGTATTATATGGACGAAAGACTTTATAGTAGAGTTTTAAATAGTATGTTGATTTATTTTAGGGTATGATTTAAGTCTCTTTTATATCAATCTATGGTACAAAAAAAGTTGATTTGTTTGATGCAATTCTTAAATATCCTTTGTAATAATTTAAGTTACATACATATATATTCTATCATGAGATAATTATTTACAATATTTTTTTATTACTTGTCGTCAAGATGAGATCAAGTATTGTAATTGACACGACTAATTAGTATTATGGTATATATTACAAATAATGATTAATATATCCTTTCTTTCCTTTTTTTTTTTGGTGCCATATTTAATATTATTAATGATAATTATTTTTATATGTAAGTAATACTTATATTTCTTTTATTTTAGGTTATTCCAAGTGGAATGCAATCATTAGGTATATATGGACGTTCTCTGGAGGTAAAATATTTAATTTTAAAAATCAAATTGCATTCGTATGAGTTTTGGGGAATCAAGTTCATGTTAAACAGTTGTCCGAAGTTACAAACTCTCATCTTTGACTTAGTTCCTGGACGTGGAGCAATCCTATCGGTAAGTAATATTAAACTATATTTATATATAATTCGTAAAGAATTATTTGAATTTTTATTTTCTTTTAAAATTATTTATAATCATATATAAATTATGTAAAAAAATAATATATGAAAAATGAAGGTGATACTAAAATCAATTTGAAAAGAATAAAGTTTTTTAAACTCAAGCTATATATGTGTGTGTGTATATATATATATATATATATATTCAGGTATGTACGTGTGTGCATGAAACTTAAAATAGGTTGTCTTTAATTTTCAGGGTTATGTACCTCCGTTTGAGTTGAGGGCCAACGATTTCTGGATCAACAACACAACTACTTACAAGTGCTTGAGAAGTAAGTTGAAAGTCGTAGTATTTAAAGGATTTAATGGGAGTTGGAATGAAATCATTCTTCTTCGATATTTTCTGAATTTTGGACGAGTACTGGAGCGTCTTGCTTTGTATTCTGAAGACGGATTGAATGAAGATGAGAAAAAAACTATAACAGAGAAAGCTATAGAAATAAAGAACACCATTAAAGCTTCACCGATAGTGCAGGTTATACTCTATATTGATGGTATATCCATTAATATATAAGAAGATATAGTTACTATAAAGTTGTAATAACGTAGATTTGTGTCAAGATGACATTTCTATAGTTTAATTTGTTGTTGAAGTTCTTGTTATTTTTAATAATATGTTGAACACAATGTTGTTTTATTAATTATAATAAATTAATAATTGATTTGCATGATCTGCACATGGATGAATAAAAATGATAAATTTAATTAGAATAATTAATAATTATTCTTTAACTCAATTGTTAGTACGTTTTTTTTTCATAAAAGATTATAAATTCGAGTTAGATCATGTTACTTGTCTTTATTTAAATATTATTTTTTATTGTATTATAGTTAATATTTATGCATCAATATAAAAAAAATTAGGACATATATATTGGTGAAGAATCAATAATCTTTTCCACAAGATTGCAAACATACATACATACATATATATATATATATATTCATTAAATATGTGTAAATAAATGTTTTATACTTCAATTATTTTTCTTTTTTTCAAAAAAAAGTTCATTTATAATGAATGCATGTTTTTACTTCATTAATTTTGCATTTGATACTGAAACTGATTGCATTTGCATCTTTTATATGTATATATATATAGATATAGATATAGATATAGATATACATTATGGTTTTTACATGACAGGTTATGAAGTGATCTATTACTGCTTCAAAGAAATTTTTCAGTAACTGTAAAATGGACTAGGAAAATATTTACCAAAAAAAAAAATTGTTATACCTTAATATTTTCAGATTAAAATAATACTAATAAATTTTGTAGTAGAACTCTAAAATAACATTCTAAGTTGTTTTACCATTTAATTTGACTAACTTTTATGTTGACTTATAATATTAAAAATTAAAAAAAAAAGTATTTTATTTAATGCAATTTTTAAATATTTTTTTAACGATTTAACTTATATTTATAAAATTTTTCTATTGTTTATCATCAACGAGTAAATATGTGTAACGCACTTTTTAAATTTTTTGCAATGATTTAAGATATATTTCCATCATGGGATAATTATAAAAAATGTATTTCTTTTACTTATCACCACGAGGGTTCGATTATTATTTTTTCTAATCACAAGAAGTTAATTTTAATAAATAAATTGAAACGACTTATTATTGTTATGGTATATGCTATGGACAATGATTGATATATCATTTCTTTTCTTTTTAGTTGGAGTCAAATTTAATACCTTCGACGATAATTACTTTTGCTTACGTGTGTAAATACGTAATATTAATTTTTATTTTATTTTAGGTTATTCAAAGTAAACTAGAGTTATTTGGTATATGTAGACGTTTTATAGAAATAAAATATTTAATTTTGAAAATTCATTTACTTCTATATGAATTTTGGAGAATCAAATTCATATTAAATAGTAGTTCGAAGTTAAAAATCATTATCTTTGATTTGGTTTTTGGAAGTGGAGCAATTCTATGTATAAGTAGTATTAAAACATATCTCTATATAATTTATAGAGAATTATTTTGAATTTTTATTTTTTTTAAATTCATTTATAATACATAAGATAAATATATTTGCTGAAAATAGAATAATATTTGATAAATGAGGCTGAAACTTTGATATCGATTTGAAAATAATAATTTTTTTTCAAACTCAAGTTATATGTGTGTGCGTGTGTATATGTGTTTGCGCATGAAACTTAAAAAGGTTCGGTTTCTATTTTCAAGGTTATGTACCTCCATTTGAATCAAGATCAAATAATTTTTAAATAAAAATTATTATTACTTATAGTGTTTAAATAACTACGTTAAAAATAATGAAATTTAAAAAATTTAGGTGGTGATTTATTTATTTTGTATGCGTATTGAATAAAATGTATAAAATTTTATTAAAAAATAAATTTATTATGAAATGAAATAAATATAATAATCAAATTATTTTTACTATATTATTAATAAGTTAAGAGATAAAATTTAAATCTAATTATAAATAAATGGTTAAGATTTAAAGTCAAATTAAATTATTTTGAGAAGATACTTATAAACCTCAAATCTTAAACCTTTCAATAGATTTTTGCAGAATTTTGGGTAAAACTGAAACTTACTTTTTCAAATCCAAACATTTGAGATAGACATCAAGTTTTTGTTTTTATATGAATTCAGCCAATGGTTTTTCAAACTTCATATTATTTCCCAAATTTACCTTCTCCCTTCCATTTGACCAAAATTCCTTCTT